AAGATTTCATCGTTTAAAATGAACATAACTAGAATGTTGTACGATCTTTTTAAGCGAGATTACAACAGTTTAAACACAGTTCACTTTCGTTTATAATTTATTGAGCTTTTACAGAGTGGTAAGTTAAATAAATTATTATTATTCGTTTTCTATTGTACTAAAATATATGTATAGCTATATGTTATGTTATGCAGCTAAAGGAAGATTTATATTGCTTTTATTTTATTATATATTGTCCATACTAAATCATACGTATTTTATTTGCTACAAAAGAAAAAAGAAGAAAAAAAGGAATGATGTAGATAAAATGCTGAATGGCTTTGAAGCGGGTATAATCTGATGTGATTAACATTTTTATAAATGGTTCTGCAGAGCTTGGACTGTAAAGGAGATACTTTATAAAATGGGATTATATAATTCTTAATGGATTAATCAATACAGCTCGTCATTTCTTAATGAGAAAGAATTAACTTAGATAGATGGGAGATACGGTTCAGTTGAATTATGAGGGCAGTTAGGAGACGTTTTCATTTTAATATCGTAAAATGATATTGGTACGTCTAACATTTCTCAGTTGATTTTCAAAATTACTGTATACCTTTCCCAGTGCAATTTCGCACGTAATTTTTACCGAAGAATCCAAATCGAAGTACACATTTGCGAATTGCTTATGCTTCGAGGAATTAAGGAATTAAATTTAAAAGAACTTTCATATTCTCGAAGAAGAGATTGATAAGGTAAAGTAAATTTTGAAAATCGAACGATCGTTAGCGATTACTTTCCAATGAAGTCAAAAGGGATCGAACAGAACGTTCAAAAATGTCCGTAAGCTTTTAAAGTTTACCTAACCATTGTAAATAGAAGAAATATAACAGAAGAACCGAAACGCATGGAAACAATTTTGACAAACCAGATCGTTTGCCAGAATTCGTACAGCGCGAATTTCTCGTAACGTTTAATCAGTTCAAAAGTTAACGGCGAGGAATCTCGATAAATTCTCTTCGTTGTTCAAAGTAACCACTGTAATTATTTGAATCATAAGCAAGCTTAACGCAAGGCTCCAGCGGGAGCGGCTCGTTCGTCCGACGAATTTCACTGGGGACCTCGTTTTACTTGAATCACGGGCAAGATCTAAGTGGCGGCGCGAACGTCACGTCGCACCATCGTTGTTTACCATCCCGGGGACAAAAGACGGGTTTTCATTATTCCATTCACGGGGCGCTTCTAATTTCCGAGGGGTGGGCGCGAGGTCGTGTCCACTTGTTTCCTCTGATTCCGACGACGACGACGACGACGACGACGACG